ATAAAATAATAAGGATAGCTATAGATTATAATTCACTGAATAAGGATACCATAAAACCACACATGTAGAAATAAATAAATAAATGTATAAATTGAAAGTCTGATGAGGAACAAAATAAAGCACTTCCTCATAAAATATCTATTAATTATAAAGGGGAAAAAATAACATTAGAGTAGAGAAGCCCGGCTGATACTATCTCAATTAAATGACCAAAATGAACATGATCAATAGGACAAATCAGAATCATGCATATAATGGGAAACAACAGCAGCATCACTTCGGTATTATTCCTGCTGAAGATACATAAACAGAATCTAATCATGAGGAAACATCAGATAAGCCCCTATTGTGAAACAGTCTACAAAATAACCATACCGTAATCTTTAAAAGCAACAAGGTTGTGAAAGCCAAATATACTTTTTTTGATGACCAAAAAAAGACTGAAATTGTTCTAGACAGAAGGAGACTAAATATAATGACAACTAAATAAATGTGATTCTGAACTTGATCCTTTTGCTATATAGAACAGTTTTGGGACATTTGGTGAAACTTAAATGAAGTCTAAAGTTTAGAGACATGCAGACATACAGGGACAAAGGCCATGTGACAAGGGAGGGAAAGACTGATGAGGGTTACAGGTGAGGAGAGACAACTCAGGGACGCTCAAAGTAGCAGGCGGGAAGAGCAGGAGAAAGGGGATTAAAAGCCAGGAAGCCAGAGAGAAGAGCAATCAGCCGAAGGGATTAGGTGAGCAGACAAACTCAGGCCCACCCAGAGTAGCAGGCCAGAAGAGCAGGAGAAAGGGGATAAAAGTCAGGAACCCGGACAGAAGAGCAGTCAGCCCGAGGGTTATAGGTGAGGAGAGACAACTCAGGGAAACCCAAAGCAGCAGGCCGGAAGAGCAGGACAAAGGGAATTAAAAGCCAGGAAGCCAGAGAGAAGAGCGATCAGTCAAAGGGATTAGGTGAGGAGAGGAAACTCAGGCCCGCCCAAAGCAGCAGGACCGGAGAGCAGGAGAAAGGGGATAAAAGCCAGGAAACCGGACAGAGGAGCAGTCAGCCCCAGGGACAACTCAGGGACACACAAAACTGCAGTGCAGAAGAGCAGGAGAAAGGGTTCCTGACAGAGTGCAATCAGCCACAGGGACCCAGGTGGGGGTGACACGAGAGGTCTCCAACAGCAAGACAAACTTGTCTGTCGGTTTGTCCTACTGTGGTGACATGTAGACGTGAG